TGATGTATTTATTACACTCCATACTGCAGAACAAATTCAGGCCACTCACATAGGGATTGCCTGCTACACCCCATACCTGACTTTGCAAGGAGTAATTTATGTACCCAACTTCACCTTCAATCTGATCTCAGTGATCAAACTCACCACCCAAAAATCCTTATGACTAACCTTTTACTCTGACTTTTGTCTCATACAGGACCTGGAGATGAAGAAAATGACTGGTTATGCTAGACTTACCAATGGCCTTTACCTCTTAGAAGCTAGTTCAAACCCCAAAATCATCACAACAAGTAGGGCATCAACTTTTGACTTGTGGCACTTCAGACTTGGCCACGTTTCCCACTCCAAAATTCCCCATCTAAACCAATTGTGTACCTCTATTGAGACTCATAGAGATTTGCCCTGTGATGTGTGTCACTTTGCTAAGCAAAGAAGACTTCCTTCCCCTACTAGTCAGTCTTTAACTCAGTCTATGTTCGACTTGATTCATGTTGACATTTGGGGTCCAAGCCCTATTCCAACTCATGAAGGTTACAGATATTTCTCACAATTGTTGATGACTTTTCTTGCATGACCTAGATTATTCTTCTCAATCTTAAATCTGAAGCTAGACCCCAGCTTATTGCTTTCTGTAATCTATCTGGCCAAAACTTAGTTCAATGTTCAGGTTAAAAAAGTGAGAAGTGATTAAAGTAGGGAATTTCAAAAAGATGATTACTACCATGAACATGGTATTCTACATGAGATGTCTTGTGTCGATACACCTCAGCAAACAGCAAAGTAGAGCGCAAGCATCAGCACATTTTGGCTGTTGCTAGAGCTCTACAATTCCAAGCTTCTCTTCCTACTGTTTCTGGGGAGACCGTGTTAAGCATGTTGTTTTCCTCATTGATAGAGTTCCATCCTCAGTTATTCAAAACAAAACCCCTTTTGAAAAGTTCCATAATCATCCTCCTATCTCTCAGATCTAAAAGTGTTTGGCTGTCTTTCTTATGCCAGCACATTAGCCTACCAGATATCCAAGTTTCAATCCAGAGCTAGAAAATGAATTTTTCTAGGCTATGTTCCTGGTATTAAAGGTTACAAACTTTATGACCTTAACTCTCATGAAACATTTGTTTCTAGGGATGTAGTTTTCTATGAAACTCATTTTCCATTTCACTCTTGATCTGCTACTGAACCTGCATCACAAGCTCAAACCAATAACCTATTCCCCCTACCTTTCCCTATATGCAGATGATTTTACAGATTTCCCTCTTTCCACACTTCAACATCAACCTACACCTCCTCCTTCCTCTACCCCAAATAACTCCCTCTCTCCAGCACCCAGTTCTTCCACCCCACCTTCATCTCCTTCATCTCTATCATCACCACCTTCTTCTCCTCCCAATCCTACCCCACCACCTCCTACACCTCCCCTACCAACTCTACTAGTTAGACGATCAGACAGACAAATCAAGCCTTCATCCCATCTAACCAAAGACTACCATTGCTACCTCCTTAAATAGTCTAGCAGCTCCAGTGATTCTTCTCATCAACAGGCTCCTCAGACCAGGTATCCTCTTTCCTCAATTCTTTCTTATGACAAACTTGCATCCCACTACAAACATTTTATTCTCAGCATATCCACTTATCAAGAACACAACACACAACACATACAGAGAGGCCTCCATTTCCGAACAATGGAATGATGCTATGCAGCAAGAGTTAGGTGCTCTCATCAAAAACAGGATATGGGATGTGGTTAACTTGCCCCCATGAAAGAAACCAATTGGAAACAAATGGGTTTATAAGGTCAAGTTTGAATCAGATGGTTCTTTGGACCGTTTTAAAGCCAGAGTTGTTGCTAAAGGCAATACTCAACAAGAAGGAGTTGATTACCAAGACACATTTGCCCCAGTTATCAAGATGACTACAGTTCGAACCTTTCTTGCTATTGCAGCTCAAAGGAATTGGCATATTCACCAGTTGGATGTGAATAATGTCTTTCTCCACGGAGATCCCCAGGAGGAAGTCTATATGACTTTGCCAAAAGGTTACACTCCTCCCCCAGGCTTCCATACCCCTGTCTGTCGACTCAGATGGTCCTTATATGGCCTCAAACAGGCTTCTCGTCAGTGGTTCTTTAAGCTAATAGACTGTCTCACTCAAGATGGTTATTCTCAAAGTCAAGCAGATCACTCACTCTTCTACAAGCTCACTGAAGCCAGTTATACATGTATTCTTATTTAAGTGGATGATCTAGTTATTGGAGGCAATGATCTCTAGGAAATTCAGCATCTCAAATCAAAACTGCACAAACAGTTCAACATCAAGGTCCTAGGTCCTCTCAGATTTTTTCTTGGCATTGAAGTGGCAAGAAACTCAAAAGACATTCATCTATCACAAAGAAGGTACACTCTCGAGCTCATTGAAGAAGCACAAGTTTTGGACTCAAAATCAGTATCTACTCCAATGGATTACAAGCTGCATCTCAGCAACAATTATGCCAGCCCTTGTGCAGACCCAAAATTATACAGGACCCTAGTTGGTAAGCTAATCTATCTTACAACTACACGTCCTGACATTTCCTATGCTACTCAATATGTTAGCCAATTCATGGCCAACCCAAGCGTTACACATTACAAGGCAGTGGAAAGGATTTTGAGATACCTAAAAAATGCACCTGCAAGTGGTCTCTTCTTCCCTTCCTCGGGTTCCTCCAATTGAAGGCCTTCATCGATTCTAATAGGGATGCTTGCGTCGACACACGCCGTTCCACCAATGGCTCCTGGGTCTACCTCGGTGACTCCCTCATCTCTTGGAAGAGCAAGAAGCAGAAGACCGTTTCACGCTTGCGAAGCACAGTATCGTGCGCTAGCTTTCACTGCTTGCGAGCTCCAATGGTTGCTTTATCTTCTTCATGATTTGCAGGTTTCCCATTCGCAGCCAGCGACCCTCTTCTACGACAACCAGAGGGCCATCTATATCGCCCAAACCCTACTTTCCACGAATAGACGAAGCACATCGAATTGGATTGTCATCTCGTTGGTGAGAAGTTTCTCAACAACACAATCAAATTGCTTCATGGCTCCTCCAACCACCAATTGGCGGACCTCTTCACCAAACCACTGTCACCAACTCCGTTTCGCTACCTCCTCTCCGTGCTCAATCTGTGCCCAACAGCTTGCGCCCGGGGGGGGGGGGGGGGGGAACAGCTTTGACCCCCAAATTCAAAATCGATCTGCTGAAGAAAGAAGAGCTTCAACGGTCAACTTGAGTCGTCCGCACCGTTTTAACCTCTGCGCACCGTTTTCGCCTCAGCATCTCCAACTCTCCAAACGAAGTCGTTTCATTCCTGATCACTTTCTTATCCGCCAAGCTTTGTAGTTGTTTATACTTCGAGCTAAAGAACAGAACAAGAGCAATGAGCCACTGTGTCTTGTAGTGGTGATTGTTTTGTATTTAAACCAAGAGATTAAATGAGAAGCTCAAGCCTCTAGGGTTTCACTTTAATCTAAACAAATTGTTACCCCTGCCTGACTCTCACTTAATGCTTGACGGCATATGTATATCGAGATACTCTCCCCCATTCCATTGCCATGAGTAGACAACCCTAGACTACTAGACGTGAGAATGTAGATCGATCAGAATGTTTGTGAACCCATCCCGACTACTAGACGTGAGAGTCGGCCCGGATTGTTGTGGAGCTGGGCCAACTACCCAGCACTTCATTTCTTCTGCAGCTACAAGAAGTCTATAACTGCTACTAGATATCCCAAAACAAGTTATTCTGCAACACAATTTACACCCGCCAAGAACACAAAAGTTGATGCACTGCCAGAGGAAATCTGGTTCTGAAACTAATAACAAAACAATTTGAGGTGTGCCAAATCTCCTTTCTGTTGTTTTTACGAATCAAGTTTCAACCATGCCACAAAAGATGTTCACCTCTTTGTCTACATTTCGGTTGCTGCAGATTGGTGTATTTTTATACATTAGAAAGCATCATCATCATCATCATCATCATCATCATCCAGAAGACGCCCTGGCTATGAGCTAGTAAGTGGCTATATCAATTTCAGCAGTGGTAAGGTTCCTTTCCTTCTTTTCAGTTCCAGCACTCTATCTATGGAACCTTTCTTTCTTTCTCCGCTGACGGAGGCTCTGTGCCAAGTATTAGACTGTCAAAGAAAAGAATGCACTCGTTGATTCAGCTGCCTGGTCCCAGAGCCAAATTCTTGTAAGGTAGATGGTAGTTGGGCAAGAATCAATGAATGTATTCCCATTCAGCTGCCTGTATATTCTGTGGTCCTCTCACAATACTATATGGCAGATGTTGATGTTGCATTGCTTTCTCTCTCTCTCTCTCTCCCTCTTCTCTCTGATGTAGGATAACCTGAATGCATTGGCTATTGGCTTCACATTGATCCATTTTACCTATTTGCTTCTGAGGAACATGACTCCTCTGGTCCTCTTATCTCATGATGGATTCACATCTTCATCAATAGTAGTCGAAACAATAAAGAAGCGGATTGGGTAGCTCGTAATTGTAGAATGGGTACCCTACACCCTAATTGGCTCTCTGTGTTGATTGTTATTTCCGACATGGTATAACTTTCCCATGTCAGTTGAGTTAGAATGAATGAAAGTAATGTTTTTATTGAGCAAGAAATGATAAAGAAGACCGAGTAAGATTTAGGAGAGAATGAAAAATACATAATAGGTGATTAGAAATATAGAGAGATTTGAGAAGGGGAAGGACATAGGGGAGAAATAAATTTAACAATACTTGGTTTGTCAATTTCATTCATAATTTTTGATGAATCGACTTATATATGATTCAGTTCTAAACCCTATGATAGAAACACGATTTTCGTGTTTTATCATATTTATCATTATTAGTACTATTAGTATTTTATTAGATATGGTTAGTAGTCGTTTAGTTGTATTAGGTTTATTATTAGGGTTTTCCTGTATTTCCCTATATATATGTACGTGGGATCTTTTGTGAGATTAAGCAGAAATTAATAGAAAAGTCATCCTTCCTCAAAACCCTAATCTCTTTCTCACTCAAATCTCGTCTATCCTTCTCTCTTGAGGCTTCGGCCGTTCTTTTTGTTTTTCCCCAATTCTGTTCTTAATCCCCAATTCTCTTCTAAATCCCTAATTCTATCTCTAAATCCATAAATTCCCAATTTCCCAACCCAACCGATGGAACCCTAGAAACAGGTTTCTATCATATGGTATCAGAGCCCGAATGAACCTATCCAAGTTCTTCGATTCGGAGTGGGTTCGTCTAAGCCAACGATTGCAGCAGTCTATCAACCACTACCGACGGGAAGCACGGGAGAGGGAGGAGACCAAGGGCGGGGGCAGTGGGTGTCGCCTTGGCGAGACAGGGCGGCGGCGACCGGCGGGTCTGCCCGACAACACCGCGAGGGCAGGCGACGCGGCGGAGGCTGGGGAGGCAGCCCTAGGCGCCGCGGGGGCAGGAGCGGCGACAGCCGCTGACACGCCAAAACACAACACCAAACTGCGACCAAGTGTAATCGCAGTCTGGGAATGCAGTAAAATGGCAAGTTCTATTATCAACCCGGAGTCTAGATCTACTGCTTACTCCGTGATTATCTATTATCTAGCCAACTAAGTTAACTGATTGTTGTTTAAAGCAAAAGCAGTAAGAAAGCAGGAATTGGTACGATTTTCTCAAGCAAAGAAGGGTCACTCGGGAATGAGTCCCCCTAGCTCCTTAGTTAGGCCTCAATTGTAATTACCCTGGGTTGATTTACTGTTGATTAGACTGCGGAAGATCCGACAATAGCTTGGAATCTCTTAAGCTGACCAAGCCCTCTCAGTCTAAGTACTTGGCAGACGACTAGTCTTCACCGGGATAGAAAGCTGAAGCAATAAGCACAGAACTCCACTACTGGAATTGGATTCCAGTACAAAGCAGTAAACTGGCTAACTCTCGTATAGCCAATCTCCTATTAACGAATGATGAGGCTCTAACAACCTAATCAGATTCTATCTATCTCAGGTTGCAGCAGAAATCAGGAAAAGCTGATCAGACTTCAATTGACTCAATAAACATGCATCATTCGATTAAAACCAAACAGTATAATCATCCCAAGTCATTACAATCAAATCCCTAACACATGGAACTAGGGTTCTACTCCATAGAGAGAGAGGGGAAAACAGAATACAAAGCAGTCATACTCATAACAATGGAAAGAATCTGCTATGGGATGATGATTTCCACTCCTATGACGATCTCCAAGCTCGATTTGATGAAACCCAGCTCCAAGATAGCTTCTAGGATGTGTTCTTCGTACTTTCTCTCTCTAGGGCTCTATTTTTGCTCTGAAAACTCGATTCTCTCTTTTGCAGCCCGAAATTGGGTAAAAACCAGAAATTCCCGACTCACACGGGTAGGCCACACGGCCGTGTGGCATACCCAGTTGCCCGTGTGAGGTCAAAACGCCGCGTTCCGATTATGTGGGTTTCAGGCTTCCTACACGGCCAGGGGCACACGGCCGTGTAGCTCACCCAGCCTGGCCGTGTGAAGCCTCGCAGAATTCCAAACGGCCAAATTGCAACTTCACACGGCCGTGTGGGTTCGGTGTGTGCCCGTGTGGCTTCCTCAGCGACTCGCCGCGCGTCCGATCTTCGTCCAATCGACCCCGAACTCGCTCCCAAGCCTTCATTCACTTACTAGGACCTGAAATATCACAAACAAACACAACCTAGCGTGAAATCGGCCTAAAACACGAGAATCAACACCCCAAACGGCTCCAGAATAGGGGTAAAAACATGTGCAATTAACGGCTTATCAAACTCCCCCACACTTAACCGTTTGCTTGTCCCCAAGCAAACCAAGTCAGACACAAGGTAAGCTCACATATTTCAATCATACCAACATTGGGGACAAATCATATAGGCACAGAAACACGTGAATCATACTGGTTTTCAAACATCAACACATGAACAACCTCAATAGCAACCTGGACAACCACCACAGAAGACATTCGAGTGCAGCAAAATCGAGTAAAGGAGGAGTCTCCCTTCTGTTCATCAACCAACCTAGACTTGACTCAACCACTTACTCAAGACACTCAACTCATGCATAAAACTCAAGACATCAGAATCAAGAGCGAGCCATCTAGGTCCTCACCGGGTAAAGAGTGTAAAGAACAAGAAAATGAATCGCTCACTCTCGACCAGTGGGTTCAGGACAATTTGATGCGAAAAATGCGCATACTTATTCTCTCAATTCCTAACATCTCTTCACCATGAAGGCAACCTCTAAATGTTAGAGTTCACATAAATGGTTGTCATCACTAACTAATCAGGAGGTCTTAGACACAGGTTCAAGTGACTGGCTAGGGTCTTGGACATGGGGAAAAGGCCTTTTAGGTGGTGGAAGTATTCATAGCACAAGGTTCCACATTTCCAAACCCAACAAACTCACAGTCAATCAAACCCGTACTTTCTTTCTGCTATTCTGCATTACTCAAATTCAGAGCACAAGAGCGAAGGAGGTCACATAAATACCCGTATTTCTAAGCCAGACTGCTAAGAAACACTACTTTCAGATTTTTGGTGGTGGCTCTCTTTTGCTTTCATTTTTTCTTTGTTTTTCTTTCATTTTATTTTTCACTTCTTAAGAGAACCACCACCTCTGCACATTTTCAAACACCTGCCCAACTTTTTAAGAACTACCTCCAACTCTCACATTACATTTAGCAGAAACAGCAGAGAACATGTAAAAATCACTCTGTGGAACCTTCTAAAAGATGCAAAAGGGTGACTTTTCATTGAAGACCGAAAGAAAGGATAACACACGACTCAAAGGGCTGACTAGGGGATATGACACATCAGGACAGTCAATTTGGTCGTGGGCTAATCCTATGCCTCCATCATCTTAGCTAATGACAACGTGAATGCTACACATCATGGAAGAGGGAACTATCGCACAAGAAAGAAACGAGCAGGCTCAAATCTCACATGGCTACCTATATGCTCTATCTCTCATTCTGATCCCTGAACTAGATGCATAAGAGACTGTCAAAAACAAGTAATCAATCCAAGTCACAGTTGGTAAGCAAACAGTTGAAAAACTGAACCCCTACACAACTCTACTGCACGTCTCAGTCATCAATATAGGTTGTCCTAGTCATCATCTAGTTGTCATGCATTAATCCGAAAACCATTCAATTCACCAATCAAAACACAGTGCCAATATGATCAAACAGCCGTACTTGGAGCCCTCAAATCTCGAGATTTGGACAGTGGACTAGGCTCCAAGCACACATATATACATTCCAACCGATACAAAGCACCCCCCACACTTAAGCACGACATTGCCCTCAATGGAGCAGAGGGATAGAGAAGGGGAATGATGTTACCGGATTGAAATGCTGCGGGAGACTGGAAGTGGACCAGTCAGCGTGGGACATATGGAACGAACGGACAGTTCTGCACTAAGGGAACATCAAGAACACACTAGCACATGTTCGTTAGGGATCAGAGTTGGCCTAGATGGCCACAAAAGAAACAATCCACAAAAGAAAAGAAACAAAACACACTACAAACTCAGTTCAAGCTCCTCAAACACATGGAGCAAACAGAAAAAGTCTAAAACAAAAAACACACACTGAGGGGCGACAAGTACAACCTACTCGTCGCCAAGGTTGTCCAGATCGATGTCATTCATGAATGCATCATCATCATCAGCTGGTGGAGGTGGAAGTGAAGAGTCCTCCCAGGGAGTCCTCCAGACTGGTTGCTCGCCCGGAAGCAGCTGGAGCAGATGCTGCTGGAATTGCCCCTGTCTGGGCTGATATGGCGGACTCTGGAAGCCCGGTGGTCCCTGGGGGACTGGTGATCTGGAATTTGCCCCACCCCAGGAGAAATTGGGATGCTTGCGCCACCCCTTGTTGTAAGTGTTGTTGTAGGGGTCGTTGCGCCTAACATTATTGATGAAGTTCACCTGCTCCTAGGGTGTGGTCGATTCCTTCATCGCCTGGCAGTCTTCCACCGTGTGATGGGTGCTCTCGCACCAATGGCAGAGCATCGCCTGCTGCTGTCCGGTCCCTGGAGTCATCCCGGAACGATCGATAGCTGAAACCAGCTTCGACACCACCTGCACCAAATCAGAGGAATGGTTTCCCACAGAATGTACACCTCGGCTTGGTGCTCTCCTCCACCTCCTAGCAGTGCCCCAATTATACCCGTTCTCTGCCATCTCCTCAAAGAGTTGATTCAGCTGTGGCGGTGTTTTGGTCAGCATGTTCCCGCCACAAACCGAGTCAATCAGCTGTTTGTCTTCTGGGAAGAGGGCGTGATAGAATGTGCCCACCTTGAAAGCATCATTGAAGCCATGATTGGGACATCTCAGGAAGAGACTTTTGTATCTCTCCCATGCGTCCCGGATGGTCTCATCCTCATCCTGAGCAAAATGGGTAATTTGCTTCTGCAGGTCCGCCGTCTTGGATGGAGGATGGTAGCGGGTGAGGAACTTGTCCGCCAGGTTGGCGAACGTGGTGATGGAGCCCGGAGGTCGAGTGTCTAGCCACTCCTTGGCCTGCCCCTCCAGGGTGAATGGGAAGTACCTCAACTGGATGGCATCTGCTGGGACCCCATTATTCTTGATTCCATCGATGAGCTCTTGGAATTGCCTGAGATGTGATCGGGGGCACTCCCCCTCTTTGCCACGAAACACCACCGAACCGCGCAGCATGGTGATTACTGAGGTGCTCACCTCAAAATTGTTGGCTGGGACATGAGGGTGTTGAATGGGTGACCTCATGTCTGCAGCCCTGGCGGTCCAGTAATGTCCCATGGTCTGCTCCTCGGGAAGGACCACATCATGGTCCTGTGGATCCGCCATCTCTTCTTCTTCTTCCGCAATCTGCAGCTGTGCTAGCTCCTCCTCCACAGCCAGTCGCGCCTTTAGAGAGCTCTTGAAGTTCCTGCAAGTTCATTCAAGCTCCTGGTCTAACGGTAGTAGATCTCCCGACTGGCTACGGGTCATGCACTACCTGCACACAATCAGCAGAAGCAACCCGTGAAGGCACACAGGTGGAAGAGAGAAAATGCAGTAAAGAAAATGCTAGAGTAACAAATTTTCACGTTTCCCAATAACCTAGGGTTCCCCGGCAACGGCGCCAAAAACTTAACACGCCAAAACACAACACCAAACTGCAACCAAGTGTAATCGCAGTCCGGGAATGCAGTAAAGTGGCAAGTTCTATTATCAACCCGGGGTCTATATCTACTGCTTACTCCGTGATTATCTATTATCTAGCCAACTAAGTTAAGTGATTGTTGTTTAAAGCAAAAGCAGTAAGAAACCAGGAATTGGTACGGTTTTCTCAAGCAAAGAAGGGTCACTCGGGAATGAGTCCCCCTAGCTCCTTAGTTAGGTCTCAATTGTAATTACCCTGGGTTGATTTACTGTTGATTAGACTGCGTAAGATCCGACAGTAGCTTGGAATCTCTTAAGCTGACCAAGCCCTCTCAGTCTAACTACCCGGCAGACGACTAGTCTTTACCGGGATAGAAAGCTGAAGCAATAAGCACAGAACTCCACTACTGGAATTGGATTCCAGTACAAAGCAGTAAATTGGCTAACTCTCGTATAGCCAATCTCCTACTAACGAATGATGAGGCTCTAACAACCTAATCAGATTCTATCTATCTCAGGTTGCAGCAGAAATCAGGAAAAGCTGATCAGACTTCAATTGACTCAATAAACATGCATCATTCGATTAAAACCAAACAGTATAATCATCCCAAGTCATTACAATCAAATCCCTGACACATGGAACTAGGGTTCTTCATACCCAAGTGAGAGAAGGGTTCTACTCCATAGAGAGAGAGGGGAAAACAGAATACAAAGCAGTCATACTCATAACAATGGGAAGAATCTGCTATGGGATGATGATTTCCACTCCTATGACGATCTCCAAGTTCGATTTGATGAAACCCAGCTCCAAGATAGCTTCTAGGATGTGTTCTTCGTACTTTCTCTCTCTAGGGCTCTGGTTTTGCTCTGAAAAACTCGATTCTCTCTTTTGCAGCCCGAAATTGGGTAAAAACAGAAATTCCCGACTCACACGGGCAGGCCACACGGCCGTGTGGCATACCCAGTTGCCCGTGTGAGGTCAAAACGCCGCGTTCCGATTATGTGGGTTTCAGGCTTCCTACACGGCCAGGGGCACACAGTCGTGTAGCTCACCCAGCCTGGCCGTGTGAAGCCTCGCAGAATTCCACACGGCCAAATTGCAACTTCACACGGTCGTGTGGGTTCTGTGTGTGCCCGTGTGGCTTCCTCAGCGACTCGCCGCGCGTTCGATCTTCGTCGAATCGACCCCGAACTCGCTCCTAAGCCTTCATTCACTTACTAGGACCTGAAATATCACAAACAAACACAACCTAGTATGAAATCGGCCTAAAACACGAGAATCAACACCCCAAACGGCTCCAGAATAGGGGTAAAAACATGTGCAATTAACGGCTTATCAACTGCCGTGGACGAGGCAGAGCTTAAGAAACTTCAAGCTGCCCTCGATACGTGGATGGAAAGGTCCGGTCCAAGAGTCACTCCGTCACTGTCGTGGCTTCTGTCCTTGGAGAAGAAGCCGTTGTCGTACCCCCGCCACCTAAGACTGCCATCGCAAGCAATGTCGCTCCACTGCAATCCGGGTAATCAGTCGATGTCACCTTGGCTGAATCCGTGGTTGTTGACCTAGGAAAATCCGGCAAACAGCAGTGGTGCTTGAAGACCGCCGCAGCGGTTGTCTCCGCTACCTCACCCACAATGCCACCGTTGAAAGTTGCCAACGACGATGAGGAAGATGACCGCGTCAACCTTTCCCATGAAATTAACCCTGGGATGACGAAGATCGAGGTTCCTAAGCTACGACCACCAGCTGCCTCCAAGTCTCTGCGTGTGGAAAAGGTGGACCTGAGAGCCCCACCTAATGACAGTGCTTTGACGTGGAAATCCAGAAAGATAAAGAAGAAGAAACAAAGGCGGAAGTTGCTGGAGGATAAAGCTCTGTCGGAGAAGGAGAAGGACGGGTGGGCAATCACTAATGCCCCTGCTGAATTCGTTGGCGGGTCGAAAAATGAGCAAGAAGGATTGTTAACTGAACAATCGCCCACGGAAAACGACATCCTGGGAATTGGAAAGACCGCTGCATCCGTCTCTCACGAAGCAATCCTGGGGACGGCTGTGACATCTTCGCCCAACGTGTCGGTGACCAGAGCTGCCGCAACACTCAGGCTACGTGTCACCTTGCCACCGTGGCCAACGCCATCATTCAACGACCTCTTGTCCCTTGTGACCGTGTCGTCACCAATCGCGGGTGAGCGCGAACTGCAATTGCCTCACTGGGTACTGCTGGCGGTAGGGATATCAACCGTTGAATGGAAGGAATCTCCAAATCGCAACACCCCTGGCTAAAGAAGAGATTCCTGCAGCTGGTTTGTAAGTACGTAACTAGTGGGAATTACACAGCCTCACTATTTGCGATGAATGGGAAGTTTGGAAGGGGTATGGAGGTTATGGAGTTTTGTAGCCAGGAAGGTTGTAACTGGGGCTCTCTTTGGGGGTGGGGATCTATAATGGGCAAGACTTGCAATTCCCAGCTTGGGGCGAAGGTGGAGGTTCTATGGATGAGGAACAATTTATGAATTCAATTTGGATGGATGCTGCGCTATCGGGAGAGGAGTCCAGTGGTGGAGTAGCAGCTCAAAACCCGAGCGGGCAAGGGAACAGGTGGAGCATAATGAATGCATTCATTTATGACCGGAATGCGTGGACTAGCCGTCGGGGGTCGGGCCAAAGGGAAGGAGTTGGAGTTTCGGTTTTCACTTCAAAGCTCAATAACATGAACCATGCATCCCTGCAACAAGTTCATTGCAGAGGGCCCAGGGAGTACCGCCGAATGTGGGAGATAAAGGCGAGATGGAAAAAAGTTAGAGAAGGCACCATTGATGGAAAATTTAAGGAGCTAGCGAGTACTGACTCAAGACTCACTATAGGAGGTGAATTCTCAAAAATGTTGGCGGAAATAATGCACAGCTCAAGCTTGGGTGGAAAGCTCAAGAAGGTGATTCGAGGGCTGATAGCTTCACTATAGGAGTAAAATCACAAGGATGGGGAATGGGTACTAGCCGCGAAAGGGTCATCATCTTTGTCGAAAGGAAGATGATAGATCCTATGCTAGAAGGTGTTTTTGGAGCAATGGGAAGGTGGAATTATTTGATGAAGTTTGAAGTGAGGAACAGGGACTCATTTGATCGTGATCGTGGTTGTGGTAATGATGATATGCACTTCTTGGCAGGAGGAGGATCGATGGAAGCTGGAGATGCTTGTAATGGAGGCACTTGTAAACTCCAACGAAATTGGAAGAAAAGAAGGCGGAAGAAGGGGAATCCTCGATGCATTGCTTTCGCAAGAAGGATAGAAGAGTGGGTCAAGTGGATCAACCTTGAGGGCAAGGTTGAACTTAAGGGGGAGGAGATGATAGAAACACGGTTTTCGTGTTTATCATATTTATCATTATTAGTACTATTAGTATTTTATTAGATATGGTTAGTAGTCGTTTAGTCGTAATAGGTTTAGTATTAGGGTTTTTTTGTATTTCCCTATATATATGTACATGGGATCTTTCGTGAGATTAAGCAGAAATTAATAGAAAAGTCATCCTTCCCCAAAACCCTAATCTCTTTCTCTCTCAAATCTCGTCTATCCTTCTCTCTCGAGGCTTCGGCCGTTCTTTCTGTTCTTCCCTAATTCTGTTCCTAATCCCCAATTCTCTTCTAAATCCCTAATTCTATCTCTAAATCCCTAAATTCCCAATTTCCCCACCCAACCGATAGAACCCTAGAAACATGTTTCTATCACCCTAATAGATCTAACATGGCAAAATACTAATCTACCACTAAGTCTATCAGTAAACTACCATGGTGCAACAAAGAGAAAAGGGAATTACATCTAAGATTCCATGTAATGCAAGGAAGTGAGACCTAAATGGATAGCGAAAATTGTGCTAGTACTCCCATCAACATACGGTGAGAAAGATTGATATATGTTGACGTCGTTGGACCATCTCTTTCTATGAGAACCTGATTGGATGGTTAGATAGACCCTAAGATCAGACAAATCAGCAATAGTTGGGCAGGAAACTCAGGGGAATGACCACTGGTTATACACATAGTTTGCACCTTTCTTCCGCCAACTTCATAAATCATCGACCCCCTCAATGTGTCGACAACAATTGTCTTCTCTTCTAAGACAAAAAGTGAAGCCCTTGCGATGGTTCGTGTATGGAAAAGAGCTGGTCTTCCACATTACGTTTCTTCTTGCCTTGCACTAAAAAGTGAAAGCGGAAAGAAGAAAGAAGAAAGTCAATCCTGGAAAGAGAGCAGAAGCGGGACTTTTGGACATTCGCAAGATCTTGAAAGAATCAAAAAATGGTGTTGAAAGTTTGTATCTTTCTTCATGGTATGGCCTGCCGGTATGGCATCTTAACACTACCAACAGTCCACTCTGCGCCTATGGTAAGGTCCCAGGCACCAGCACATAGAGCAGAGAGAGTTAAATCTTGAAAACTGTTTGTAGGAAAGGTTTTGGACTTTTGCAGGCTAAATGCCTCTGTTAGATTCCTTTTCCGTTCGTCCTTTTACTGTTTCTGGAGGTTCTCTCTTCTTCTCCATTTTATTTTTCGAAATTGAAATAACCAGAATGATGTAACAATAACAATACAGCATAAAAGGAACCCTAAAGTGAAGTCTGGAACTTTTCAGTTCATTTCTCCCATTGGCCTCTCACAAACAATCCTCTGCCCGCTCTCTTTCTCTCTCTGACTGAAATATCTGCTGTGGTGGTAGGACTAGGAAAGAATACCACTACATGTAAATAGAGTGAGTGTGAGTGTCTCCCTTTAGCAACAACTACTTCTTCACTGGACAAACCATTTGTGTGTCTTCCCCCTCTCTCTCTCTCTCTGTTTCTCACTTTCTCTTCTACTACCCCCTGTGTTTTGCTTCTCCAAAGGAAAAAGCTCATTTCTCGTGAAGCAGTGCAAGAAATGAAGCTTCAGATCATACCAACAAAACCCTTCTAGCCATTTTTAACTAACCCCCATCCACATTGGCATTACTCGCTAGCTTAGCTTCCATTTCTAGCCATTCTTCTTCTTCCATCAAACCAAATGTCGATGCCACTGGGCCAGCAGCAGCCTGAAATGGGGCAGGAGCCTTTCGCCATTCACTCGTCGTCGTCCTCTCACGCTTCGATCGGGCCGGTCATAGCGGTGCTGGTAGTGATCATGATTCTCGGCATTGTGGCAGTGATGATTGGAAGGCTGTGTTCTGGAAGGACCATACTGGGGTATGGTCAGTACGATATAGAGAGCTGGGCAGAGACCAAATTCTCATCTTGCATTGATGGAAGGATTACCACCACCACCGCCACTCCACCGCCGGCCGCCGCCACAAGAGCTCCACATCCTCCGGCTGGTGACAATGCAGTAGCTTCCCCTGCTACCACTAGTACTACTCCTGCTCATGAAGAACAAGAAGAAGAAGATGATGAAGCTAATGCAGCAGCTTAAACTCAACTTCCACTATGGTTTCTACTCACTATTTTGGGTCTGGGAAACATTTGTTGACTGCTAAACCATTTGTGATATTGAATGAATGTTCTTGTTACTTGTTTAGGTTTGATTGACTCTGTTCTTTCTTGAATCCAATTTTCTCTCTGTTTTTGGTTATTTCGTTCTGATATTTTGATTTTTTTGGGTTTGTGGGTTCACGTGAAGGGAAGGGAAGGGGACTGACACGATGAGAATGATATATCGGAGTGGGTAGTGTTATTCCCACGAAACTGTAGCCATCAGAGAAGTGAGAAGAGAAAGAAAAGGGTATGATGGGTTTCAGTTTCAGAGAGGGAAAAAAGCTACACATGTTTGTGTTTATACCTTATGAGTTCCGACGTTTACCACTGCTGCCTGCAGTTCCTGCCTGCCTGCCACTCCACATAATTATATTCCCATCGCGATTCGTGACCCAAAACCCACTCTCCAATCTCCATCATTGATTTAGACATTCCGGTAAATATCCCCCAATTAATTCATCTTCAGAGGAATGAATTAATGGAAGCAGTTTCTCAACCATTCGGTTGACCGGAAGTTCTGAGTCACTTGCGAGCTCGGAAGAGAGGTAACCGAGCGGGACTAGTACCTCAATATTTATATCTGTCTTGCATCGAGTGTCGTCATTGCAAATCGACCAACAAAATGGAGCATGGCAGACCTAGCATTCATGCCTCGTTCGAACGCTACTCTCAAAGCGAAAAAACAGAACGAAACAAGTCGAGTTGAGCAAGACACATCAAAATCGTCATTCCTAATCGACAACACAATTGAATCACGTCCTACATTAACTGCATATGAACAACCGAGGGACCGGGGCGATCACCTTCAAAAGGGCAGGAAATTTTGGGGGCTTTCTTCTCTCTTACATTTGTTTTGTTTTCCATTTGTGGTGAATATAGCCAACAACAAAAGGCCCCTCCATCACAATCACGGGGTAGAAAGAATCTTTCTACTTGACTTGGCAGAGGGAGACTGACTGAGAGAGTTATGGTGGTTGAGTTGGTGTTCCTGTTACAGTAGAAGTAGTAGCAGCGATGGTGGTGGTCGAGGAGTGGGGACGCTTGAGCTTGAGAAGGTGAGAAATGGCAGCAACCACATGCAATCGACTGCTGGGAACTCCAGTCTTCCCCACCGCCTTGCCATTTTTGTCCACCATTACAAAACAGGGAACGTACTTTATGTCATAGTGCAGCAGCTGCGAACACACAAAACCAGCAAAAAACTTTCAGTCATCTAAAATACTACAAGTAATCTATATGCTTGCTTGCTATAAACAAGAAGTTCATCATTATGCTATCATATTCCAGTCCCAATTAAGCAAGGATTTGTAAATGCCTGAGCTGAAATGGGTAGTTCATGTCAAGTTTTGGTTTGAAGTAAATTGGATGAGAGACTGTTAAAATGTGTGGTAAGTTGAAACCCACCCATTTCAAAATCATGAATTTCAAATGGTGCTCAATTTTCAACACAATCACTCATCATCAATCTGAATTGACCTCAAAATCGTCCCTTACGCATGATTTCAAAATGTAAACTAGACGAGACGACAATTCAGATAATACGAAACGTGATTCAACGATATCATTCCATGTATACACACTCACTCTATTTAGGACCATAACCAAACTCAAACAAAAGCACCATTTGTTGCAGGAGAATAACTCAGCCTCTACTGCCCTACATTGTTTCTGATAATGCCACCATTCATTTCTTGTTATAGGAACTCAGATGGGGGTTTGTTTCAGGTAATTTTACCTCAGGCAGCCAATTCTCGTTCTCTGCATCGGCCATCACGATATTGACCCAATCCGAGTTCCGGTTCTCCACTTCCGTCACGAAATTAACCAACGAGTTGCAGAGCTTGCATTTTGGGGAATAGAATTCAAGCACCGTCGCCTCTTTCCCACTCGCCAGGGCCGACGCGAAAGCTCTCTGCTCCGCCTCCCCCTGCTCTTCCGGTGTCAGCGCACTTCCCTTCCCGGTCGGCTGTCCCAATTGGATGAGATTGAAGCTTTTCTTCGTCCAAGGGGTCGATAAATTGGAAATCGAGTTGAAGGAACTGAGGGCGACGGAGCCCAGGGTGTTGAGAGATTTGAAGAGCCATGGGCCATCGTAGTAGGAGCAGAGATTGGAGTTTGTTGTGGGATAATTCTGAGGGACGGCGTCCCACTCCCACGGCCATTTTAGACGGAAGATTGATTCCTTTGGAGCTGCTTCGTTCTTCATCTCCAGTTTTTGTTTGGAGAGTTAAGATTTTGTAGTTTGTAGAGTTCCGTACAATATGATTTTAGGAATATCCTTAAGTAAGGTAATTTGATTTTTTTTACTTGCTAGCAGGTTTCACAGGTCGCATTATGTAAAATACAATAGGCATTATATAATGGTTATGTAACATATGGTAATCTTACGAGACAGTTGTAAAAGATCATTACGGAAGCCTTACGTAATAATATGTGGCTTTACGTATGATTATTAACTTTGCGTTACGTAAAATGCTAAGCCATTACGGAAGTCTTACGTAAAACTACTTATTTAAATGTTACGTAAGAAATAATTGTCGTTTCATAAACTTTACGTAATGAAAGGTCTTTTTACGTAATGAGTATTAACCTCGCGTTACGTAAAGTGTTAAGTCTTTATGGAAGCCTTACGTAAAGCTTCCGATTTAACTGTTACGTAAGAAATACCTATCGTTTCGTAACTTTTACGTAACGAATGTGTATTTTACGTAACAGTTGTAAATTGTCATTACGGAAGCTTTACGTAATGGAAGGTCTCTTTACGTAATGTGTATTAATGTCGTGTTACGTAAAGAGCTAAGTCATTACGGAAGCTTTACGTAACGCTTCCGATTTCACTGTTACGTAAGAAATAACTATCATTCCGTAACCTTTACGTAATGGAATGTCTCTTTACGTAATGAGTATTAATCTCACGTTACGTAAGAAATAACTATCATTCCGTAACCTTTACGTAATGGAATGTCTCTTTACGTAATGAGTATTAATCTCACTTTACGTAAAATGATTAATTATTATGGAAGTCTTACGTAACGCTTCTAATTTAGTAAGAATTAAAATAAGGAAAGGATTAAATAAGGAAAAAATAAGTAAATGTGAAAAAGGAAAGAAAAAACAATAAAGGTAACTCACGAGGGTGGTGACCCGCAACCCTCGTTGCCAATGTTTTTTTCACTTATTATTTTTTTTATTTTTTATGTTTTTAATCAATGGTTTAAAATAAGTTTGATCGATTTTAATAATATAAATCTATGCAAGTTATCTAACGTGAAATTATACCTAAGTTATTGTAGGAGGTATTTCGTGATGATCAAGTCAAATGCATTAATCTAATAGGATATCCGACCAAGCCATATGATATAAGTCTATATATGGACTAAGTTGTATTTTCAAAACACATACTAGCAAAGACAAATACTGCAGCGTTCCTTGTGCTCTTTGTCGGCATCTCGGGAGCGGTTACGGTGCTAATTGTACAATAGTTAGCACCGTCCTAACCAAGGGAAAAACTACTACTAGTTTGAATTAGTAGTGATTTAGCTTAGATGTTGTATTGATTTTATAGATTTCGTTATTTTTAGTAGCGTTTTTTGCTAGTTATCACGCTACTAACCCCTATAAGGTTAGCACCTAATCCCATCCCCGGCATCTCTACTCTACTCTCCTCTCCAGTTTAGATGAGGTGTTTTTGACAATTTCCTACTAGTGGCAATAGGCCTCCGATGCTATTGGGTTTTGTTAAGTTCGTGGTTGGCATTGTGGAGTGGGTTAAGAAGATTCTTTCAGTTTTAAAATCTAAGTGTTTCCCCAGCGAAACCAAATATCCACAGTCGGTGTCGAATTCGTTTCCGGCGATGTTGATTTGACGTTTCATGATGGAAACTCTTGTGGTGCCGTTACTCGAATGCACCGTTGATTGCTGAAAACGTGACGACCGTCAAATATCCACCGGGCGGTGTTGATTTGATCGGTGCAACTCTGACTACGATCGTCAAATATCTATCGCTGGCCAGTGTTGATTTGATCTATGCACCTCGAATGAGGGTGTTTGAGTTTTTGGGGGAATCTGCGTTACGCCTACTCCTATGGAGATTCCTGTAGAGAGCTCCGCGACTACAACTACTTCTACCAACTATGGAGATCCTTCCTGGAAGAAGAGCTCCACGAAGGAGTTACAGAGAAAAAGGTAAGTTTGGAAGAGAGTTGTTCTGTTATGATTTTTGGTTGTCCTTCTCTCTCCTTACTCTGCTGCTCTTATTCGAAAAACATCATCGTAGCCTTCACGCTCCATGAAACCGCTTCCTCAACTGCTCCGTCGTGAACTCCCACGTGTCTCAACCGCCTCGATTTTGATTCTGCGTGAATCTCACGTGGAACAAAGCTACAATGACGATGTTGCTTTGGGATAACAATGGCGTTGGACTTAGCGGGCCACCCTTGGCCGAGCTCTTAGCCACTACGATATCGTTTTTAATCAAACGATATCGTTTATAACTCCCGTGGCGTCATTTTTATCTAAACAACACTGTCTAAAATAATAATTAAAAAGATTAATTAATTAAACCGGCTCATTATTGTCACGCGGTCAAATTCTCATCCCTCGGCGCCGTTTAATCTTTCCGCGACATCGCATTTCACTAATCGATGCCGACCTTGAACTGCTCCGTCCCAGTCCCATCAAACAATGTCACTTTTCATTCCGCGACATTGTTCTCTACCAAACGGTATCGTTTTTCTCGTCTTTTCCAACTCCAACAGCATCATCGCGAACCCGAATAAATTCGTAGCCCTGGCTCGCGACATTGTTTTCACCGAAAAACGTCATTCTCAATACCGCGGTACCGTCGAGCTTCTACGCGGTGTCGTTTCTCTCCTCTTCCGACAAGGAATAAACAAAAGCATTCCTTTTTCCAATAACAACACCACCCGTGCGTGCGGCACTCCCACATTGTTTTCTAGTAAACAATGTCGTTTCAAGTACAGCGGTGTCGTCGAACTTCCTTACGGTGTCGTTTTCTAATCCGCGGTGTTGTTGGCTTACTCTCGACACCGTTTTACCATCCGCGATGCCGTTTATCATTAAACGACGCCATTTTTTATCACGCGGCATCGAATCAAATGCCGAGACTAATTAATGCAGTATTTAATTGAATCAAAAATAATTTTAGGTGTGAACAATGCCCACAACTTATACCACCTAAAATTTCTTAATGATTGATTAATTTTGTCCAATAAGCTATACAAACCACGCAAGGACAAGGTAATTTGAGCAAAGAAGTAGCCAAGCAGCATTGCGAATTCTTTCTCCGCGGAAGATCCCATTTTGAACGGGCAACAAGAAAAGCACCATGATCCCAAAAGGCAACAACACTCATTGGCATAGTTAGTAAGATACCGTATGACTAAGTTACCTATAAAATATATACGGATATTTTACATTATTTCTAAAATAATGTTATATTTAATAGTAAGTTAATAATAATAAAATATAAAAATATAATTATTTAAATATATATAGGTTAGACTAGTGTATTCCTCGAATATACTATACTCCAAATACTCCTAGTGATATATATATGGTGATGTCTTTGGTGCACTCACTTTTTTGGGTGCATTCAGTGCACTCGCTTCATAACTGTCATTTTAAACATGCGATTTATGTCAAAATGATGTCAATCGTTACTTATGATGCGATGAACAATAACGCACATGAATTTGCACAAAAACCATTGAAGATTTACTTCAATTTGAAGGATTTAGAGTTTAGAGATTTAGGGTTAGGGTTAGGGTTTACAATTTGAAGGATTTAGAGTTTAAATGAATAAAATATGTACGTCCATATATACGTGTATTAAACGGAGTATTTACTAACTATTGCTAATGTCATGCATAAACTTATCCATATTCAAATAAATTTATTTATTATGGGTAGACCATAACTTTTTTAGAAGTTGAACTTGTTTTAAATTCTTGAAATTTTAGGTACTAAATTGAGAGAGAGAGAGAGAGAGAGAGAAATTAGGTGCTATAATGTATCTTCATCTATATTTTTTTCTTATTTTAAAAAATTGAGCTTAGATATTAAATGGTAAAATCTATTAAATTTGAATATCAAAATATAATTTTGAAATGAGTATTGGTAAAACCTCAAATCTATATATTTAAAATACAAATAATCTCAAAGGGTTGATAAAATCCATCAAACTCTGCACATTCCTTTTAGATTTGAGTTTTGTATCCAACTCAATCGTGTTGGATAAGTAAATCCCATAATTTTATCCAAAGTTGGAAATCCTAAATTTGACAAAAGTCTAGATTTTATTAATTGCTTGGCGGTTGCGGATAAGACTAAGGGCTCGTTTAGAGAATTAGAGTCTAAATCTCTAGATTCTAAACAATCCAAATATTTGAACTCTCCGGATTGTTGAAAAAATATTTGAAAACGTTCATTGTTTGATAATTGCGATTGTTAACATATAATAAAAAAGAAATTATATTTTTTTATAAAATGACATATTTATGCTTAACCAAAATAATTAAATTGGCTCAAAAAAATATTGAAAATTTTATCAATAAGGATATTTAGTGGGATAAATTAAAAAAAAGGAAGAGATAGAGTAAGAGAGAGAAAATCTCTAAAATCAAGATGTAGAATCTCTCTAATTATGAGGGATTTGATATCTCTAGATATTAGAGATTTAAAATCTCTAAACCTACAATCCACGATACAAAAAGTAGCAAAAAAACATAACATTTTGCCAAATCTATGGATTCAATAAATCCATCATCCAAATCTTATTCTCCAAACAACCCCTAAAAGTTATCCTGATCCGTCCCTGACCCTGCTCTGACTCTGTCTGACTCGCACTTGAAGGGTCAAGATGTATAACTAACCCGCCCCGCCCCTGTCTGACCTTTTAGGGTCGGGGCGGGTTAGGGAGGGTCGGGTAAGTGGGTCGACCCTTACCAACATACTGATTTTTTTACAAATTATGTTTTGGTATCCAAAATTAATTTTTCTTACAATTTAGTACCTTTTTTTAGAAATAAGTCTTTAAATTTTGATGGTAAAATTACGTTTTGGTATCCAATTTTTTAAAAAAATTTAGTACCTCAACTATTAAAATTTTACAAACATGTCTACTGTGTTAGTATGTGAAATTTCATATCACTTGTTGTTGCTCAGGGTCACAGGGTCAGAAAGTGACATGACCCTAAACTGACTCGACCCTTACAGAGTCAAAAGATGACCCGACCCTAAACTGACCATATAGACAAACTAGCCCAGCTAGACCCTGAGGGTTGGGATGGATTGGGGCGGGTTAGTGGGCTTTTAGGGTCTAGCTTACAGCCCTAGTTGTAGAGTCATTTTGTGTGCTAATATGATATGATAATGTGCACTATGAGTATGTGACTATAGATTTAAATGTTTGAAATCCACAACCATTAGAAAAAGTCTAAGAAATGTACGAAAAATTATAATGAGTTCATTTCTCAGAATTGATGGTCTTGAATGGAAATAACCAAAAATAAGTTTGGGGAAAAGTAGTAAAAAAAATTAGGATAAGTTCCACTAGAGCAATGAACTATAAGAAAATGTTTTTTATTTTCCATGTCAATTAAGAAAATGAAGAATAAAAACCCTGCCTTCCAGAAACATTAAGATGATGAACGATTCCCCTTGCCTACCAGAACCATATGTTCATGAAGTATAATGGCAAAAAAAACCAAGTCCACCTAGATTTAGTAATCAAACTCAATACAAGGGACAAGGAGAAGATGTCTCCAATCCGTAACCCGCCAAATTCGAGAAGCTAGAAGCAACAGTGATAGGATTGAAAATGAGCTACAAGAATATCGAAAGAAAACTTGAACTCCTAATCAGTGGACAACCTCAAAAGCCTCAAAACGACCTCTTGAGCAACACAGGAAACAATCCAAAGAAGGAGGAAGTTGCGTTCATTTGGACTAGAATGAGAGCATTCAAGATTTTTCCGAGTATGAAAAAGGAAGAAGAGAAGAAGGAAGCTGACTATCCATCCCTCCTCAGGAATCTGATAGAAGCTTCTGGAGGAGCAGAAGTGGCAATATCATTATTGGAGAAGATGATTTTGATAGAGGATCTCAAAGGAAAGATGGAGATCTCCATGGAAGACGATGACAAGGGGAAAGAGAAGGATATCACTATCAAGAAAACCCCATGGGGGTTTGTAGAATTTATCCTAGTCAATGATGTAAAGAAAGATCCTGGGCATATTGTCATCACGTGGAAAAAGGTCTAGTTGACCTTCACTCAAGTGTACCATTGCATAAATATGAATAAATGAGACTGACCCGCATTGCGCACCCCAACGTAGAGAACATGCTAGTCAACAACACACCATGTAAAGCTCTTGGGATTGTTCGATGCCATACCACCCATGGGGTTTGTTCATTTTCTTTTTCGACTACCTCGTGATCGACATGGAAATAAGAAATGAGTATTCAACCCTCTTTGGAAGGTCATTCCTTGGAAGTGCTCGTGCAAGGATTGATGGTGTCAATGAAGAAGTAACCCTACACATATGGAAGCTTCCATACAAGATAATAAGGCCAATCAACAGAGGAAATAAACATAAGGAGTATCCTTGGATGGATTCGGACGTTGAAGTCAAATTTTGATTTGGCTCTCATCTTGAGAATCTAGAAAAGATAATAGTTCACCACCATGATATACACCTAAAGTATAGAGAGGAGTTGAACAGGGTTCCGCCAATTCCCAGTCTCAAACAAGCTCAAATGACATTGATGATAGCCAGTACAAGGGAAAATATGATGCTTGAAAAGACCGAGGAATTGGAATAGTAACAAAGGAGTACCAAGAATTCATCAATCAACCCAATAGATTCAAGTATGATCATATCCTTTCAAAAGGATAGGGTGATGAAGATGAAGTGACATCTAGTCAAGACATCAACTAAAAGGAACCTAGCTAAGCCTAGCTCAAAGACATAAAAGAGAGAGCGCTCCATGGGAGGCAACACATGTATGACGTTAAACTTAATGATGTTAACTGAAAGTGCAACAACGGAGACATCCCGGATTTCTCTTTCTTAGTTAATATTTCAATTGAAAATTTGTATTTCGGTTCGTAATTTTAGTTACTCATTGGAGGAAAACATTGTGTCCTTTGGACATGTGTTACATTTTGAACAAATTTCAATCTTATGATGAGAATGAAGCGTTTTAAGATGTTAAAGATAGTGTGAAAACAAATTTCGCACTAACAAGATAAGTGTTCTAACTCGAAAAATGCTGGTATACGAAGTAGAACGCGATAGAAAGCCACGTCGGTCACCACCGCCTTGACACTGATGCCCCCCACCTCCTTTAAAATGACAAAACTCGATCGTCTACATATCTTGATATCATCGACATTTGTTTTTTATGTCTTATATCAAGAGTATAATAGAGAATAACTGAAAAATATTTTGCTTGCTTTATTTCCATAACAATTTCCGATTTAGTTACAAAGGCGATCAAAAGTATAATTTCATTTTAAACTTATGACCAAGGTAATGATAATGGATCTTCTCATTTGTAATATGATGAACAGGCTCTTAAGTAACCACATCAAACTCAAACCAACTTTTCTATCAAGCCTCAAAAAATTCACGTTACTATTTTAGACTTTTAGTCGAACTTTTATTACTGCCACGAAATGCAAGACTATGTTAGCAAGAAACTGTTTACACCCAAAAAATAATCTTGTACCACATTGATTATTTACAAGGAATTAACTATCTTTATAAGGTCAGATCATTAATGACAATTAATGTTATTTGAACTGGGCCTCATGATACTAGTTTTTAAGCCTGGGCAACTAAGTCTCCAAGAAGGAGTTAGTCTCGTCGCGAGTTGGCTAGCCCGACGTGGTAGCGAGATCTAGACCGTGTTGGCGTCAAATTTAGAACGCGATGGGGTCGCGAGATCTAGACCGCGTTGACATCAAGTTTAGAGCCCGACGTTTAGAGCCCGACGTGGTTGCAAGATCTACACCATGTTGGCGTCAAAGCGTCAAATCTAGAGCCCGACGTGGTCGCGAGATCTAGACCACGTTGGCGTCAAATGTAGAGCTCGACGTGGTCGCGAGATCTATACCACATCGTGAGTCTAGACCATGTCCAAGATCTTAACTAACAAGTTGGAAGTAAGAAAGCAAGCATGTGGGAGAGGTAAGTAACAGGACGACTGTTCCCAGATAAAGAGCATGCGGTTAACAGAGCAACTGCCGATAATCCCACGTGCAAGGACACGTCAGCCACGTCTGAGGAAGATGGGGAGCAGTTCTTTCTGGAAGTTACTCGCATATGGTTTTTTTACGACGGTTACCACTTCAAGGCTATAAATAGGAGGGGGAGTTGACAGAGATGGTGTCGCAAAATTCACACCAGACAACACAATGTCAACTTTTATCCCTTTATCATTTCCTCTGCAATTTTAGTCGTAGTCGTAGATTTGGAGCTCTCACTGAACCTCCATAGGAGTAGGGTAATTTAATTTAGATTCTGCCTCGTGAGTTGTGTAAACATCGAACACCCTCGTTCGAACTTTGTATGAAGAGGTGTGAATCGTGTTTAGTGATCATTGTTCGAAGAAGTCAAGGTGCAATCAAGTCATTTCAACGCAAGTTTTCTTGCCGGAAAACAAATTTGGCACACCCGGTGGGACCCTTGTGGTCGATTCGATGGCTCCGAGGCGGAGGAATCAAGAAGGTGACGTTCCGGCTGGATTCGTGGAGGGGCAAGTGGCCAACATCGATCATGGCCAAGCATCAGAGGCAGTGACCGGTGGAAATGGCAGAGCCAAGATCTTGGTGGCGACCGCACCTAGTGGAGATCTTAGTGAGGCAGTGGGGTCCATTCGTCAGATGATGGAGGAGAACCACAAGATGGTGGCAGAGAACTGTCAAGCCACAGAAGAGAACCGCAAGATGGTGGCTGACAACTGTCAAGCCATGGAGGAGAACCACTTGATGGTGGCAGAGAACCTTCGAGCCATGGAGGAGAACCGCCAAATGCTGATGGAGAACCGTCGCATGTTGGAAGAGACTCGGGTCGGTACTCATCACGTAAATTCTCAGATGGATTGTCTCAATTCTTGCTTAGATAGACGTTTGAGCCCATTTCTTGAATTAGTTAACAAAAATACAAATGAGGTGGATAAACTCCGACAGTCTTTAAGTAGACCAGTAGTGCAGTCAAGAGCTTCGCCCTTAGATGGCACGGACCTAACGCCTACTAATAGAGTTCTTTCTCCCGCCGGTGGTCGGAATAGCTAACCACGGCAAGAGAACTTGCTACCTCAGACGGCAAGCCAGCCACCTCCATGTCGAGTAGATGACATCAAGATTCCCTCTACTGCTCAAGTGGGGGAGTCGTCACATGGACGTGTGGGAGTTGAAGTGGTAACCCCGCGTGGTGAGAACCTCGCCACCATGTTCAACACTCGAGTTGAGCAGCCACCCGTACAAGTGGGTCTCGTCCCTCTATCCGGAGGCAAGACCCTACGTGGCGACCATGAATTTGGGAGTAGGAGGATGTCTAGGTGGCAACATGGATCAGATCCAACCACGAGGCTGCCCAACTTCAACGCCACCCCATTTCAATGGGCATGGCATGGATCCCATTGGGTTTGTACCATATGGGGGCAACAAGGGGGGCATGACGCCAACACCCTTAAGGATCAATTGGCTCAACACCTCACGGAGCAGTTTGACATGGGAGTAAGACCTGTCATGCCAACTGTATACCGTAAGCCGTACCCAAATGGGTGGACAAGCTACATCCATTCCCAAGGGGATTCAGAGTTCTCGAGTTCGCCACATTCAGAGGGACTCGAGATCAGTCCACTATAGAGCACGTTGGACCCTTTATGGTCCAATGTGGGGATGTAGGAGATTTTATAAAGTTAAGATTGTTCGGCAACTCGTTGTCAGGGCCATATTTTGCCTGGTACGTCAACTTGCCGTCTAACTCCATCCAGACTTGGCAGCAAATGGAGCAAGTCTTTCGCGCTCAATTTTATAGATCTGAGTTCGAGCTGACCATGGATGACTTGGCATGTATGCGCCAACATCCAGGAGAATCGGTGGAGCATTTCTTGACTAACTTCAAGAATGCTTGTAATCGTTGCTTGTCAATTTGACGGAGAGGGACTTTGTCAAGCTGGCACAAGGAGGATTGAGTTTTGAACTAAGGAAGAAATTCCAAGAAAGGGAGTTCTTTGAATTGTTTCAACTCATGTCTTGTGTCGTGAGGTATGAGTCTTTTCTACATAAGGAAGAGAACCGTAGGAGTGCCTCGAGGGGATCATATTTTCCAAACTTAGACTATACCATTAATCATGTTGGCCACGAGGCCAATGGGATTGAGGTAGACTTAGCTGAGATAACTCTAGGGAAGCCATACGTCTGTGCTTCCTTGTCTAAAGTTGTAGATGAGCCACAAGGAGGGAAACCCAATCGTGCTCCCAATTAGCCAAGGAAGTACTCCTTTGATGTCTCGAAGGCAGACTTGATTTTTGACCAACTCTATAAGGATGGTCAAGTCAAGTTGACAGGGGGCATATGTTCCCCCCACCGGAGAAGTTAAAAGGAAAGAAGTATTGTAAGTGGCATAATAGCATGTCACATGCTACTTATGCTTGTGTGGTGTTCTGTAATGTCTTGAAGGAAGCCATTGAAAAGGGACGTATCAAGTTCCCTGAAGCAAAGAAGGATGCCATGTTGGTGGACACTGATCCGTTCCCCAAGGTGCTTGGCGTCAACATGGTCAACCCAGACTTCTCCAAAGTCAAGTTGTCACGCTTCAAGCTGGTGTTGGATACAAAACCGCCTCGAAGGAGCCCCAACGTGGTTTTCGACCAAGGGAGCTCGTCATGTACCAAGCAGGCCAGCCTGGCCGCAATGATGACTGTTGAAGTTGAGAAGCTGTGTGCTCAGTGCAAGAAAAGTCTCGAACTTGACGAAGAGAAGTCGAGATGTCCATCTTGGGGGCAGGTGTTTTCCAAGAAGCCATATCAACCCAAAGCCACACATGTTTGTGATAAATATGATAATATGGCTAAGTATGGACAAGAAGGCATGCCACCAATCACAAACAGTGGACATGGGGGCAAGTCCAACAAGGAAAGACGTGGAAAAGGTAGAAAGAAATGTCACAGTCTCGCAAATTTAGCTAAGTCTGGACAATGGAGCATTTCACCCACCATGAAGAATGGAGTAAGGAGCATCTCCAAGAAGACACAACAAGTCAAACCCCTACATGGATTTTGTAAGTGTGAGATTATGGACAAGGGTGGATTGGGGGGGCAAGTCCATGTTAATGAATAGTAGTACTCGTCACCAACCACAAAGAGTGGACATGGGGGCATGTATGGGAAGTCACCATACAAACCAGCCAAACATGGTTGCACAAAGAATCAATGGTGGTTGAGTGCTAAGTGTAGGGGCCAACAAGGTTTATATGTTGAAAGACAAAGTCACGGAAGCTACACGAGTGGTTGTCGACTTGTCAAGCCAAGACCTAGTCCGCAAAATCGTGAGGAGATTAAGCATGTATCAAGTGGGACGAAAGCAAGGTAGAGG